ATAGAGCTTTTTATCAGTATCAGAACTTATGATCAGATGTTCTGTGATTTATCAAAAACTTCAGCCAGAAACCACACGACAAGCTCAATTAAATAAACCACAAAGTCTTGTGTATATTCCAAAGCTTGGAAAGCATAATATTCTTCAGACATTCAATCTCACAGTTATCCTTTATGAACTTGTGCCAGCACAGTTAGATAAATGTGATTCCACATGCCATATAGAAGTCTTATTTCTGAAATGAAGGTGCCACAATAACCTTGGTTATTTATCACTGCATGAACCTGTAAAACACTCTCAAAATATTTCTTTGTCTCAGCTATTTCATCTGATCTCCAAGACTGAAAGAAGAGATATCTTTAAATTATTTTCTTGGTACAGAAGAGAAAAGAGCAGAATCCTGTCCTGTGTCATTACTTTATGCATTCCTTTGCCTTGTAGGAAATGTCACTGCACACAGGAAAGAATTTTTTACGTTGTAATATACAAAAGTATGGCAGTGGTGCCTGAAAACACAGTCACCCTGTCCTTTGCTCTCTTCATTGCTCTTCTATTAATAATTCTTATCTACAAATGTTACAGAGTATCAGATCCTCATTTCTAAAAGATAATGTAAAATTCCAGCAAAGAGATAGTGATCTACACTCAGGTTCATGTTAGGACAGAATTAACAATAAGAGAGACTGGGAATAAAACTTCCCTGAAGACTGATACAGCATGGAAAAATTAACCTCCTACAAAGATTAAGAAAAGACAAGATACACTAGTTATTCTTCATGATGCAATGCCCAAGACACTTGAACAGCTTCTTAAGAACTACAATATGAAAAATTACCCAAAGCAAAGCCTCTCCTTCAGGAGAGTGAAAGTCTACCTCACTTTCTCTAAATGCTAAGGTAGGAGAAGCCAAGAAGAGTGTATCTAAGTAAAAATATTTGAGAAACTGAGAAGTGAAATCATAACACTAAGAGGATCTCTAAATAATTAAAAAAAAAATAAGTACCTGTGGACGATATGTCAACCACAATCTCACATCATAGAGAAACAACTGTACTGCTGCAGAGCTAACCAATATTGTGTTACATGGAGCACAATAAAACTGAACTCTAATTTGTAAATAATTTGTGAAACATATGGACAAGGTACACAGAAAACCACTCTGAAAATGCAGTTCATATAAAATATTATTATTACTGTACGTCATTCTTATTCCAGATCCTTTTTTAAACTTCTTCAGCCAAATTTGGAGGCTATATGTATATATATGTGGGTATATGTATTGACATATGAACATCCAGTAAAGAGACTGAAACTATAAACTACATATAGGATATAGTATTTCCTCCAGGTATTTCTGCTCTTATGAAACATTCAATTTAGTTCACATCATGGGGCAAAACCAAGTATCAACAGCTAAATCAAGTTAGCTAAAACCCAGGATCTTACAGAATATCATAATGGTCCAGTGCATGGCAACCTTTTCTTGAAATTGCTATGAAGCCATATATTAATATGGAACTACAGGGAAAAAGGGAAAACTCCTTCATTTTCGCTGTCATGAAACTTACATTGAAGTTATTTTTCTACTTGTCATTACTAATGACCCTACAACAATGCTAATATTACTATTAATGGTATTAACATACTGCTAAAAGGAGTAAAATGTTCTGTAACATGCTATGATATCCACAAAATGAGATAATGCCATTACTACAGAAATGTCCTTAATTCTCTTGATGGAATAAAATTACTCTTTTAACATCCATGGCAAAAAAGTTGTCAGGTCCACAGTTTAACTCATTTAAAAGTGATAACGTACATTAGTCTAAACTACACTTCTCCCTTGGATATAGCTGGGACAAGTGCATTATTTATCAGGGATGTTGCTTATTAGAATAAATGGTTTCTTCTTCCCATCCCAGGGCCTCTGTTAATGTAGGAAGGGATACTTCACCCTCCAGATCTTCTGTAATTTATGGGGTGCTATTGCCCACCTCAGAATTTGTCTTATTAGCTTAAATCTCAAAATAAGAAAGGCTGAGCACTGAAAATAATACTTTGCCAATTCAAACAGACTTTGCATGGCAGATTCAGGCTTTCTAATAATGTTGTCCATGGCATAATTTAAATTGCACTATCAGCATCCTTGATTTTTCCTTCTCTACAGTCACCCTCTCTGGCACCTTACCTGAATAGAAAATGAAATACATTCCACATCATGTGGGTGTGATTTATTTTATAACTACAATTGCTCTATTTCTGTATTTCCATGCATTACAGTGTTGTAATTTCTGTTCCAAAATGACCCAGATAGGTGTTGGAAAAGGTTGAAAGAAATGCAAAAAGAAAAAGAAAATTCTCCCAACATCTCAATTGAAACTATACTCACTGAAACTCAAGAAATGTCAGCAGTTAGACAAGTGTTCCTGTAGGAAAGCAACGAGGGATGAACTTATCTAGATTTCATTAATGTATTAATTTCTGCCTCTGAATTATTTCAAATTTGAAAGATATGAAGGGTTGCCATCATGATTCGGTTTTTTTTACAAGACTAGAAAAAGAGGCTATATAAAAGACTAGAGGTGAAAGATAAATCAATCCAAAGAAAAGTACATTAACAAAATTGCTGGGATTTAAAATAAAACAGAACAAATCCTATTAGTTACTTTACCTTTATACTGTACTTCTTCATTTTGATTTAAAGAATTTCTGCATCATCTGATTTCGTGACATTTCAGGAATTTAAAGGAAAATATCTAGTAACACAATAAATATATCCATCCATGTGTGTACATAATAGCTTTGGGGAAAATAATGTAACTTTCAGCTCTAATTAATCTCCATAGATGTAGATCACTATGGAAGTTCTGCTTGTTTTGATTCATCCCCTTCTCCTGCATAGTAAGGTTTATGAGAATCATGACTTTCAACTCTCCAATCAAAAATCTACAAGCAAACAATCAGCTGATAATTTTTTTCTAAGTTATGAAACAGGAATACAAAACAAGGCAGATCTGGGTCCTGGAGAATCAGTGTATCATTCAGAGCAATCGTGAGCTATTTTTCCTCTAATATTAGCAGTGTACAGGGTGTAGAATGAGGGAATTGTTGAAATTATATAACTTGCCTATTTTATTAAAATAGTTATACACTGATGAAAGGAACAAAAATAATTTGGTAATTGAAAACTGTGAGCTACTAAGCTTACACAAACCTCTTGCTGAAGAGCATTTCCACTACAGGAGACAGGCAAAAAGCAATAGATGTAGTCAACCCTATTGCAACTCAGCAATTAAAATACAGGTGCCTGAAAGAGGTATCTCAATCCATCAAGTTATCTGGAAATTCTATACTACAGCATTTATTTTCCATGGGGTGGTAAAATATCATTTAGGACTATAATTGAAACCTATAGTTCAATATATTCTTATACAGTTAAAGGCATGTAATTAGTATACAGAATTACCCACTAGTAGGCATCAACAGATATCTAAATCATTTATCTTCTGCCTTGATATACCCATTTAGAAATACAAAAGCTTATTCTCAATAAAAAAAGAGAATGACTATCATATCACCCCACAATAATAAGCAAGACAAAAGGCTTATATTTGATTTGTGAGATTCAAATCTTGCAAATTATGCTACCAACAAAGCTCACAAATACATTATATTGGATGAAACTGGGATTTTTTAGTAAATAACCTGTAGGGCTCTGACCCATCTAGATGTATCAGTTACATCTGAGTAACCAATAACACAGGATCTCTGATTGGAAGAGTCTCTTCAAGACTCGCAGAATGAGGACACTTGAGGTTTTGAACATAAAATTTCATCTTGCACTTAAACCTCTGGTCAGGGTTCCTACTTAAGCCTAATGCTTCCTGTTGATCACACAGTTTTACAGAAATTATGTAGCTGGAATCCAATAACATTCCTACAATAAATATGGGACATACAAGGAATAATTATGAATATCGTGAAAAGGGACAAAGATGATAAAAATATTCAACACAATCACTGTACTCTAGAAATTATAAATTATATAAGATCTTAATTTATTACTGGACTGAGGCTAGGCTGACAATATTAAAAAACACAGGTGATACATTAATTAGTAATATTCTGTCTTTTGTTCTCATATCAGTTTTAGGCACATGAGAGTCACAGAATTGCAAGTTTTGAGTTCTACGAGAATAAGTATCTTTGAAAGATACTTTTGAATTTAAAATATAGTCAAAGTTTTACAAAGGATCAAATTCAGCAGCAAGGACTACATTTTTTTTTTAAGAGCATAATTTGTAGAACAAGGAGGACATAAGGGGAGACAGAGAATAGAGCAAGGAAAGCAGAGCTCCTGAAGATCATTCCCAGTCTCAGTACTATGAGACTGTGTGGCTGTAAGAAAGCTCTCAAGTAAGTGCTGAAAAATTTATTTTTCTGAACAACAGCTTTTGATTTGGTTTTGCAGGGCAAGACCAAAATTATTAGAAATAAAAATCAACTGGAAAGGAGTTCCGAGATCATCCTGTTGATAAAGATGTTAGCATATATTTAATTTAGTCAGTGCTTTATAGTAATTTTAGTAACTGTTTATTCCAAGTATACTTCTAACTGTACAAACTCTGCCTCAGCACATTTCAAACTCATGTGACTAAGATCTTGTTAAATCACTCCTCCCAAAAAAACCAAACCCAGAATGCCTTAAGTCTGCTGTATCTTTCCTTCACCATGGCCTTACAATAGTTTCACTATTGGGAATTCAGATCCAGTAAAACTAACCATCTGCAGCAACAAAAACAGGAACCTGGGACTGGCATAAAAATGCTCTCCTGTTTGAAAAAAAAACAAACAAACCAACAAACAAACCCACAAAAAACGTTGAAAACAAACTCTGATACTTTCCTACAAAGCTTCTTTGATTTTTTTCCAAGACACAAACATATTTTTTTAGTGCACCTGCATAAAACAGCCAAGTGACCTCATTTTTTTTCACTCACCTCCTGAAACCACCAGTTATAGTAACTAAAGCATCTGGTAGAAATGTACACACAGTATTCTTGACAATCAAGCTTACTGCATCTGCTTCTGCTTTAGACACACAGCTAACAAGGTCCTCATAGTAGAGAATCCCTGGAAATCAAAGGTGAAAAGTGTTGATCACTCCAGAGAAACATTAAAGTATACACAGAATTATTCAAGGCCCAAATCACAGGTGGTGGGGGCACAAGGGATCACAGGCCAGAGACAGCCTCTTTCTTCCCTCATCTTTGTCCCTAAGAGTTTATACATATTTTTGTCATTATAATTTGTTGTGTAATTTGTCAACACAGCAATTACAATAATTGCTCCACTTTCTCAGGACCTGAGTATTTATAAGTTACTCTGACTTCCCTACTAGCTCCCATCAATAGCATTTTTGAATGTACTGTTTCAAGAGGCAGTCTTCCCAAAGTTATGGTGTTCTACACAAGTACAGAGCCCAGAAGTATGTGAAATACCCCAGCTATCTTATTTCTGATCACAGAGCTTGTGTTGAAAGAGCCCAGTATGGCAGCTTGCTTCACATTTGAATATTGACATGTAAAAGAAAAAGGGACAAAGGAGCACAAATACAAGAAATCTGATCTAAAGGAGTCTGAGATGACAAATTCAATGCAAAAATAAAGGGACATTATTTTAATGTCATATTATGGGATATTTTTTCCTTAATGTAACTGATGTCTTTGTTTAAATTAGTTCATTCATTTAGGGAAGCAGTGCATACACACAAAATCCTTGGAGAAGGAATATTATTCATGTGACCATATGTAACATGTTAACCTTAAGATATGCTAGGACTGTAGAAAAAATTTTATAAGTACTTTATTACAAATCTAGATTTATCAGTAAACTAGGGCTGCCTTGAGGGAGGCAGATCTCCTCTGAAAAGTAGTTCTGGGCTTTCCCAATTTCATAATTTTTTCACAATCTATGCAATAATGAACCATTAATAGTTTTGTGTATAAGAGATTTCATTCGGTACCTGTGCAAGCAATTTAAAAATATGCATATTCCTATGTTTTGAATGATACCATTTTTAATTAGGAGCTCAACTGCTCCAAATATTTTCACCTAATAATTCAGCATTCACAAGACTGCAGCAAGAGAACAGATGTATACACGAGCTTTGCCTTCCCCTGTGAGTCTGTTATCAAGTTCTTAGAGCACAGTTTTTATGGCACCTCACCTTACCTGCTTTCTGCATCTTTGACAGCTTCAGGGTCTTTTCAACTTTTATCTCTTCCACAGTTCTCAAACCCATTCTGTACCACTTCTCAGATGTCTTCACTCCCACTCCAAAGACTGAAGTAAATTGCTTAAGTCAATAGAAAAATGTTTCAATGTTGTTTTCTAAAGGAGCAGTGAATTTATAATAAGTAGGCAACAATAAAGTTTCTCAAGGAAAGCAATGGGCAGAGTTAATCCTACACTGAAGATAAATAGTGTGATACAAACATATAAATTCAGTTTCCCTTCTTTGCATGACTACATTGAACAGAGAACTGGTTTTATACATGGACAGTTCTCATTAACATGAAATCTAAACAAAAATACAGCAGTAGTCCCAGCCCCTTTATGTAATTTACTAAAATCTACACATTTAACTATGGTTTGAAATAACAGTATTAATCTCTATTTTTACTCAATTTCTTAATAGATGTGCAAACAGCAACATTAGGTAGCTTGATTCCATGACACTGACCAGATAGAATAAGAGATATCACAAGATTATCTCTATAATTTGACTGACATTATGGCTTTGTGCTATATGCACTACCAGCTCTCAAACCAAAAAAAAAGGAAAAAAAAAAAACAAGTAGCAAACAAAAAAGAAACACCAAAAACAAAGACCAAAACAACCAAAGAAACCCCAAACAAAAAAGGCCCAAAATAAAAAGGAAAACCCCACACACATATCCCCAAACAAAAAAATTGACACACAAAAAAAAACCCTAAAACACTCCAAAATCTACTCAGCTGTAAGCATTATTCACTGGATCACTATCCCAGATGAACACTGATATGAAAGCAAGAGGGAAAACTTTCATGCTTGCCTAAAGCACATTCTTTATGTTCAGTTTGTCAATGCTGTAGCTCTCCACCTTGCTTTGCACTTTTATGGAATTCAGTGAGTAGCTGTGTAAGACATTAATAACTAATTGCTCTTTTCCATTGAATCTACAACCTCTAAATTCCATACATTCTAAAGCAAGCCCCCTTTATTTTGTGTTTCTGTGAAGATATTAATTCCTTGAAAATAATTAAGATTTAAAAAAGAAAAATTAAAATATTTGATAATATTAAATATTAAATGTCTTACATTTTGTATATATGCGAAATTACCTACTCATGTCTGAATCACAGGTGCTTATAATAGGATATGATCTTTTAAATACTTAGATTGTTATCTTTTAATGTTTTTGCTAGTGCTGAAATATTTTCAAAAGGGTCTTTTACTGGGTTTCAAATGATTCTAGGAGATTTAATTAATACTGAGACAAAGAACTAAAGAAAGAGGATTCTATGCACCCAAATTTTTAGGGGGAAAAAACCAAAATTGTGGTTTTTTCTCTCCAGACTTAGATTCATTGTTACTTAGCATGTTTTTAGATGCTAGAGATGCTGCCAGCAGTGTACACAAGTAACAGAGAGCACATTTCTTTTCAGCTGGTGAAACCAATTACACAAACTCAATCTCTGCAGCACCCACTTATGTAAGAAAGCAAACTGACCCTGTCAGTTCATATCCCTACACCTAAAACATTGACTATAATTCAATTCAGTCATTTGATAACCATGGTCCTGGGGCCAGCAATGATCTTTTAAGTCATGATAAGTGAAGCAGCAGGTACCAGGACTATGCTAAACAGTAAAATGTAGGAATTCACTAATACAAGGTTCTTCTTAGAATCTCATAATAAAATTGGTGGGAACAACTGATTACAACTAATTTAGACAAAGTGCTGAGATGTATGCTCAGCTAAGAAGAGAGGCATCTAAATTTGTTTTATTTTGCATGTGAAACAAGGCATAAAGTGTATTTGAGATAATTTGTCTCCTGATAGGTTTTATTCTAATCTCCATGAGATTTTCTTAAACTCTGAAGTGTAAGATTTAATAGCTGTTCCTCATCATGCTGTAATGCAATCATGCATTAATAAGCAAGTCTGCTTCTGGGATCCTTCTATACATGTGAATCTACACCTCTTTTTGAATATTGCTAGAAATGGCATCAACAGCTGTCTCTGAACACCCTTCCATACCTGTATTGTAAGTCAGAGAGAATGGAAGAGCCTTTGGACAGCTGAAGCAAAAGTGAGTGATGCCAGGGAGAATTTAACAGTCCCATTTGTTTGACTCAGTTTTAATTTTTCTAAAGACAGAAGGTATTTATGGAGATCAAAAATGCAGATAAAATTTTCTTTAAATGTTTGTTCATCTTACATGTTTCCAATGGAGAATTCAATAAATATTTCAGTAATGGGAACTGCAATATTTATGTGGTTTTCATTCCCTGCAACTATGAATTTGTGTGACTAAGATTCTGCAATGTACCTAGGGAAGAAACAGCTCCAGTCCTCCTGCCTCACACAAAAGAGCATTATAATAGATCTGAGTCATCTTCTTCACCCAGTATTTTCTTAATTCCAGAATAAAATAAAGTAGTTTTAAAATTACAAACAGCTGAGGCAGAAATGAAACCAACATCACATTAAACTTACAGCAAAGAGTAAGTTACATTACATCACTTAAGAGCAATTATGTATACATCACATTAATTAAAAATAGATATTCCACATTATTCCTTGTCCCTGTTTCTTGATGTGCCTTTCTTTTTTTCAAGACCTGTCTTTCTTTTTATTTGATATTGGTTGTCCCTTTTTAATAAATATGATGCCTTTGTCCAAGTTCTACTAAAGGGAGGCAAATTTTAAGCAGCAGCTACAAAACTCGAAAGAATTACCTTAAATGCCTTGTATCGCTCATCATTTAACACTTCTTTAACTCTAGAACTCTCTCCTTCTTCAATAATCTCCTAAACAAAAAAAAATATTACTTATAAAAAAAATTAAAAATTATTTATAAGATCTTACTACATTTATAAGATGTAGTGAAATAATCTAAAATCAAGTTTCATCAATCTTTATTAATCAATAAAAGAACCCCTAGCAAGCATATTGTTTTATTCCCTTAGGATCAAATTCTGCAACCCTTTTAAAGAAAGAAAATTACTGAAGGATGAAGGAGAAACTGGAACCACAGAATAAATTTCACAGTCCTTACTTACTCATAAATTTACTCAAGGATGAAGTAGAAACTGGGACCATAGAATATATTCCACAGTACTTATTTACTCATAAAGACACAGCCAGAAAGCAGTTATTTATTACAAGCTATCAATTACTTGTCCTGAAAATTAGATTTCATTATTGGTTGAGTTTTCTACTCTCAAAAATAAGACCATTGTAAGAACAAACACTACTTTTTCCTGGAGTGTACCTTTATGTTAGTCTTTCTCATGAAAATTAAAAACAAAACTGACAAAACAATCCCAAGAAACCATCCTATTTTCTGTGGGATCTTCATTGCAGTCCCAGCCCTCACACAGAAGGTACTAAAAGCACTCCAGAGGCTGCATTCTCAACTGCTGGATTGGGGCAAAAGAGGAGCCAGAGCAAAGCACAACACTCAGCAGTGACCCCTGAGCAGCACTCCGAGATGTGGGTCCTGAAAAGGTTAAGAACTAAAGAATAATGCAGGGAATACTCCAAGTTCCAGAAAGAATGGAGAGTTCATCCATCACCTGGATAAAAGGCTCTGCTATAACTATATATAACTTGCTATAACGTAGAAGGGTAAGATTTAACATTAAAGTGCTAAAATATTTACCACTTCCACAAAAAAGAGAATTTCTATTAAAGCATTCAGGTGAGTAAAGTGAAGTTGCCAAGGGCAGAAGTCACATGAACAAAACTATTAACAGTTAACCTGTTGCATCCAAATCAGAGTGAGCCCTTAGAAATTACATACAAATTGATACTGCTTTATTTATTCCCTTGTATTTATTCACATGCAACCCTAATTCCTAAGAGTGGGGGTTCCATGACAGAGTCTTGTGTTATGAAAAAGGTTTCCAAAAATCATTTCATTCTTTGTTTTTGTGTTAGAAGCATAGATACCACATTGCTATTACAGAAAATGCAGAAAGTTTGTACACACACACAGGCGTACCAGTGCTCGTCTCAGTGACCTGTAAATACTGATCTGTAAAAGAATCAATTGGCAGATAATTCACAAGTACATTACCTCAATGATATCTCTGACTTGGTCTCCCACACAGGGCAACCCTTGTATATCTTTCATACTGGTTACTGAAAATGGAAGAGATTTCAGCAAAGAAGCTGCCCTTAAAAATTCCAGGGAGAATATTTCATTTTCTTTGAACTCATAATTTTCAGCCATTACCTCAAAGGCATCCTGGGACAGGGGGAGGTAGAGAAAAAAAAAGTTAAAGTTTAATAATAGCTTAAAATATTCAGTATGCTCCTTAGAAAGGTTACTTTGTATGCTAATTCAATAATTACTTCTTTACACTACATTGAAAAGATAGAGTTCATTAAAAAAAAGCAGACCAATTTTCTAGCAACTTGAAGTTTTCCAGGTATCAAAAAAATGGTATTTTAGAGCTAAGCTTGAAAAACTTTTGTGAGATTTGCCTTCTGTATTCTCCGTGGATCTTATAAATCAGTGTCAAATAGTGCCATAATTTTTAGAATTATCCCCAATCATAATTAATCCAGCAGATCAGCATGTAACATCTGCATTTTCAGACACAACCAAAAAGCAATCTGTGGCAATACTAGAAACACCTTAATCTTTTTGAACATGTAGCCATGCTTCTACTTGGTAAGTTAGGGAACAAATTCTCCTGTTCTTCATCTTTCAGATGTATAACCTTGCAAATAGAAACACATTTTTTTTATAGCTCTTTAGCTATCCATGGTTTGGTTTATTTAACATTGCACTCAAAAATACCTCAAGAATGTCTATATAGTTGTTTTTTTCCTAAATGATCCATATGAGGTCTGTTTCCCTCCCAGAATATATTTTAAAATATTTATATTAATAGCAGAGAATTTTAGAAATTAAATGCAGGGAATAGACCACACAGTGGTGTAGAGGAATTTAGTTGGTGTTTGCCACTGTAGAGTATCAGCTTTTGAGAAGGAACCAATACTGCAAAATAATTTTGTGAATAACCTAAGAACTTATGATGGTTTTTATTTGATTAGCAGCTGGAAAAAAGTTCTGAGTGAAATCTTGCACAAATCTCAAAAACTTTCAAGAATGCAAAATTAATTGATTTCTTCAAAAATGCTTAAGAGTGCACCACTACTAGAAGAGAGTTCCCCTGTACAGAATATTTACCTAGAAGCCAGAGAAGTGGCTGTCAGTGTGCATCTGCCTGCAATTACCACTTCCCCAGAGCTGTAGGCCAAGTGCCTGCTCAGAAATGTTTCTGGAATAGATGGGAGTAAAATCAAGAGACAGCAAATGGCTTACCAGAGCAATGACTGCAGTGGAAAGCAGAAAGGAAAGAGAATAAGCGTCCTTTTCCTGCCCTCACTGTTCATGTTTAGTCTCAAATTTCATTTCATTTGTAATGAATATACAGTTTATATAGTTCAAACAAAAATAATTTTAGATTTTCCTTTGTGTGCTTTATATTGGAAGATGAAGGACAGTAAAACCCAGCAGGCCTTGTAGATCCTAAATGCTACATGTGTAATATCTCCAGGTGAATCTGTCCCAAGCCCACTAACTGACAGGATAGCAAATCCAGTGAAGTCGGTTCTTTATTATATCTGTGGAATAGAAAACAGCATCTATCACCCTACATTGAGTGAATACAGCCTCATTTAAACAACAACGAGATTTTACTTGAACTATCATCATTTAGATCACTAAATGGAACATGTCCTTAAAACTAAACATACCGTTCACAATGAACGTAGATTATTTACATATTGCATTTCATTGTTGGGTCAGTTCTATAAAACTAGAGTGACATGGTGAGTTTGTTTATATAATAAACATTTTACTCTCATTGAAACAAATTTTACTTTAAATCTTCAACAAAACATTGTCTTTTCTTACCCTATGATTTGCAAAACATTCCTCTTAACAAAACACAAAACAAAAATATGAGATCTCACTTGTTTTGACAGTATTTCCTTAGAAGGAAACAGGTACCATAGCTGAAAAAAAAACACTTCATTTCCCTTTTTTTTATTTAGCTGCACTAATATGTTAAAGTATATAAAAATATGGCTTGCTACAATTTTCTTTATTCTATATCACCAGTATAAATTCACTCCTTGGTCTCCCTAAGAATCAGTCACCTATTGTCTGTCTCACTCTAAGAATCCTTCCCTTAGCTGTATATTTATTTACCAGCTACTCAATAGTAAGGGCTGTGAAATTCCATTTTCATAACATTTCATGAAAGAGCTCAAGAGAAGGACAGCTGTTTAGCAACATGCCTGATCTCGAAGTTTCAACTATCATTTACATTCAGCTACCCCTTGGGTATAAAGAATCAAAAAGAGGAGAGATAATGCTCCTTTGAGGGAAAAAAAATAAACAACAAAAAACAAACAAACAAACAAAAAAACCACACAAAAAAAAACAACAACCCACCAAACCCCAATCTATTAGAAAAATAATGCACAAGCCTTAGCTTCCTAACATCTGTCTCTAAATATTTTGCAGTAGTAATTGTTGGATTTATTCAACTGTCCTTTTTTAATCCACATTTAAAATCTTTATTTAGTTGCCAGATTAACTTGTAAGTAATTACACACTTTTTGGTAAGACAGGCACATTACAGTTTCTATTTAGAAAGAGAACTAATGCAGAAAAAGGTGAAACTACCAGTTTGAGATAATCAGCAATATGAATTCATCCCAGTTTGTATATGGAAGAAAAGACACAGTACTGCAAAGCAAATGGGGAAATATATTTTACAAGTGGGATAACAGGACTCGGATGTTTCCTCTGCTGTGGGGCTTTCTGGACGCTCTCCCAAGATCTTACACTTGTTATTCTTCAAAGATTATTTTTTTTTACTATGGAATAGAATATGCTAATTGTTCCTTCAAGTGAGATTAACAGTTCAACTCACAAAATTAAGGTTACTTTTGATTTCTTCTTCTTTCTTTATAATTTGTACACCTAAGTAGTCAAGAAAGCACTGTTTGCCAATAAATTTCTTACTCCAGTTAATACTAAAACCATTAATCAGGGGCAGAGCTAAGAAGATATAATTGATACATTATTGTTTAAATAGTCTATACTGATAAACATATCCAGAAAAGTGGTTCCCAAAAGCAGGTGCTCAGCAGCCTGTGTTAATAATGGCAGAGACTGGCAAAGCCATCTTCTTGTTTAGAGTGCTCAGAAAGTCCTGGGATGTTTTTTCTCACTCCCAAAAGGCAGCCTCTCACATGCACATCTGAAGTGTGCTATACTGAACAATCAACCATTGTGGCAACTATATCTGCATATCCCAGCACCAGCCCTGCTGCAGAGAGGTGTCGGTCCCTTCCCACTGCCAGGAGGGCAGTTCTCAGAAAAGCTGTGTCAGCTTCACCGTTGAAAAATATAATCACAAGAAGCATTTCACTCAGAGGCTGTTGATAGTCAGTGAGAAAATATAATCAAAGCATTCTTATTATTCTAGTTTACATTTTTCACTGTTTTCCTGCCTTTGTGAAGCTCATTAAGCTGTTTAAAATAAACAATTAAAGAGTATTGAATATTCATTATTCTCTGTGCAAAAAAAACACATTGCCTGCAAATGCTGCAACTAATTACAGATGTCTTTTAACATAAAACTACATTTAACATTCTTTTCAATAAAATATTTCTTTATTAAAAAAAAAAGACAGAAACTGGACTTGCTGTCTATCAAATTGTAGAGTTCATATTGAGTAATATTCTAGAGGGAAAAGCATATAAAACTCTAATATTATTTAATAAAAATCCACAATCTAATAGATCACTGGTGAAGTCACCTATGGTCATACAAAAGGGAAAGTTATTGACCATTTATTCTAAACTATTATATGTCTTACCTGAAACACCTCACCTTCACTTTATCAATCAGATCAATATTCAGATTACCTGTTTAAAAAGTACCAGTTTTAAAGGAAACTAAATTTCCATAGATTTTCAACACATGAGAATTTCATTATCTTCAGAGTACTCTGCAGGGTCTTCTCTAATTAAATATGCAACAGAGCTGGGCTACATTTCAGTTCTGCAGTTATTGAAAATTTTATATCTGTCTCTGAAATTGTGGAATGTTTGTTGGTGAGACTTGGAGTATGCAAAAATGTGAGTTTAAATTTACTTCCAGATTCCAGTGGGTCAGATCCAAAAGAAGACTGAGATTTTGCTGAATTGTGTTAAAAATAAGAAAGGTGACAGATGTAGAGAGGAATTCTGACTCTCATTTAACATCTGGTATTTAAGAACCAATAAATTAAAATATCATTAACAACACAAAGTTACCAGTAATCACTTTACATATGCAAAAAACACAAACTAAAATACTATGAATGCTCAAAATCACTCATGTGAAACCAACAAAAAGTGCAAGATTCTCAACTAATCTATGAGAATTATTCTCAGAAAAAAAAATAATCAGTAAAACCATGCTAGTTTCTATCTGCTGAACAGCTGACCCAGTAACATTCAGCGTGATTATCAGAGCACAAGTCATGCAGAAAAGCAAAACAAATTAATGGTCCCATGTGCTATTTCATACTATCCTGCTCAACAATAATGTCAGAGCTAGTCCATTGCTACTTGCAAAGCAGTCTTCAATAAACTCAGTTTAAGACTCTGCTGGAACAGAAATCATAAATATTTCACCAAAAAAAAAAAAAAAAAAAAAAAAAAAAAAAAAATTTAAATCTGATCTGCTTTGTGAAGAATTTATTACAGCTTCATGGAGAGGGCACTTGTCTTACAGCCATGCTTACACTCTCGACTTTGCTGCCAGACCTTGGAAAGCTGCTCCACACCTCCCTACCATTGCTTCTCTTGGCATCTTCCATTCACTCTCTATTAGGACTGTGAGCACCCCAGGGCTTGAGTGCTTTCACAATGTGCTTGTACAGCATCTCTCATGAAAAAGGCTCCTAACTTACTTGAGTCTGCAAACATTACTGCAGCACAAATTTAAAAAAATATTAACATGCTATTGTACAAGAAAATTCAATCTGCCAAATAACTAAATAGCAAATTGTGCCTAAAAAACCCAAAAATCTTATATGGTATGTGTTTTAGAACCTGTTATATTCAAAACTGCAATTCGAGTGAATTTGCTTTCCCTATCAATCACTCTTTTCCACTTGTTTATTTAGTAGGAAGCAAACCCAAACAACAGGTCCTACTTCTCACCACATCAGCATCATCAGTGTTTGATGACCATTCAAAAGAAACCAAAGTTTTAGAATGCAGCTTTCATTCAAATAATTTTCCTCTCTTTCACCACTGTAAATGTCAACTTTGTATTTTGGTGGGAGGAGATATCTGACATGTGAATGACCTTTGTATAGGCTGAGAGAGAAAAGAAATACCTCCAGGAGCTTATTTCAAAAATAATTAAACAATTGAGACCAACCTGCAATATTGACTAAAGTGACTTCCAAATAAATGAAATTACCTCTTTTTGTTCAGTCTGATTTTTTTTTTGTTTTGTATCTGGACTGAAAAGCCCAGCATTTTCCCAAATCCAAAGATTCTATTATGTTATTTTACATCACCTAGAAAAACAAAGGAGCTGAGAAAGTAACAATAAAAGCTTAACGTGCATGATCTCAGGGTCCCTGCATAAACACTATTACAAGAAATAAATATATTAGTTCCAGTTGCTTCTCATAATAACAAACAATAACCAGTTCATTTCTCGAAACAGAGGAATTCATGAGAAGCTTTCATATTATTCCACGTTATGTAAAAGGACACGATACAAATGTGAAGAAAGGTCTGCTGATACAGCACAGAAATGCAGTTAGAGTGTTAATCACATAACAGTGACCTACATAATAGACACACTGTGTAATAAGAAATATAAAATACAAAATGCATATTACATATATATAATGGTCAAAGAAAGCAACATAGACTTGCTATAACATACAAATTTAAACTGCTGAAGAGTGAAGATGTATTTATACTTTGCATTTTACAAAGCACCTTCCCATTTATATTAAAATTTTGAATACATATTTACTCCATAGACTAAACAATTAATTAATTTTGAATAGATATACACTTTGCACACATTCACATTATAATTCAGAGGTGAAGTCTACAGAATTTTACTGAAGAAAGCTGTGTCAGTGGGACACTACATGTTATTAAGAGTATCCATCCAGTTAGTGGTTTTCTACTACACAGCTCCCAAGTTCATTATAAAACTAAAATTGAGGATCTTCTGAGGTATGTTTTGAAATGAAATAATAATAATAATAATAGCTTGAGCCATTGGCATAACTGATACATTCTTCTGTAGACACAAAAGGAGAAAGAAATATTTCTTTTTCCTTTTCTCTAACATAGTGGAAAGGAAGCCAGGCATCTTTTCGATGCTAAACATCCACATTCTCATTACTGTGAGTAACAGTCAAAGCAAAGTAACATCCAGTAGCCTTAGCAATAAGCCTCAGAATCACAGAACCATTTGCCTCTGACTTAATTAGTTTTTTTCTGTAAGAATTAAATTGTATGCTCCTCACAGAAGAATGTCTTTCTGAATTTTATTGCAGTCTGATATTAGTATTCAAATCCAACAACCCCTCCCGGGCACAGCAGAATGACTCCTTTTATTTTAGCACAGGAAAACACAATGCAGCCTCCAAGTGTATATTTTTAGTGGGAGAGGGAAGATAGCTACAAATAAGCCAGAGAAGTATATTGGAATACTATATTCCATAATAACAGTAATATTTAAGACAAACATAAAGGAAACTTGCTAAGGTGCAGACTCTACTCAGAGGATCTGCTCTCTTGTTTTGCAGCTTTGCCCATCTGAGCAGCCACAGCTCACCTGTGAGTAGGGTGATGTGTTCAGGTGCATTCCTGGACCAGCCAGGTCAGAAAAGCCCATGGCAGGGGTCCCAGCTGCCTGCCCCAAGGCCAGGGGACACTGGGACCCAAGGACTGCACAGAGACAGAGTCTGAAGCAGCTGCATCTCTACCCCATCAACTGAACCACGTTTCCACTGCCTACTCCTTGGCATCTGACATTTAGTGTATTCTTCACACCACAAGCCTCACTACACAACAGCTCATAAAAGACTTGACTGGGACTTTCCCCATACTGAATGCAATAACAAAACCTTGACAGCTGCAATTTATGTCAGCCCTTCTGTAGCTTCTTACATGTGTAGAACTGGTTTGTTGTAACTTTCTGTAAGTTATTTTCTGGTTATTACAAGAGACAGGAAACATGAGACATTTGAACATATAAATAGCACCTAGTAGATTAAATCACCGCTTTTTCCTCATGAGCTGTCATCAAATATCTCTGCTACTTTTTTTTTAATAAGTAGTATTTCATGATGAAATATATGCAGAACAGGACTCAGGATTTAAAAGGATCACTAATTATCAATTTCTTCAGAAATCAAGTCCCCTAAAGTACCTCTCCCAGGAAACCAGGACATATAAATCCTGCTGCACCGACATTGCCTGCCTATTAGTGACTGTTCCAATGTAATTACTACACTTTCCTCAAACAACATTCCTGAAAGGGCAACTTGATACAACATATCAGGCCAAAGTCCAATAAAAGGAAGAATCCAAGAACTCATCGAAGAATGCATTAGCAAATAGGTTTGTACCCCTGTTATGGGCATGATCAGAAGACAAGCTAATCAAAGAAAACAGGAAATCTATAAGAAAAGGGAACCAACCTGACTCACAAAATACAGTTGTTATAACAAAATGCCACCACCAACACATAACTCAAGATGGTTTGGACCCAATTTTCAGGGTGTATGGTATTGACCCAAGGAAAATCTGTCATTTAATGGTTGGCTGCCTACAGCATGCACAGGTGAATTATACCAATGCTTCAGTGCCTTTGCTAAGTGCTTGCACTGAGAAATCTGTTGGAATGCTTTTATTTGAGAACATGAATTAGAGGATTAATACAAGGCCAACAAAACAACAGCAAATCTAAAAATCAGGCTCCTGTGACATTAGGCAGACTAACTGGCAGCTCTCCAAGACATGGGCCAGTTCTGGCAGCCCATAAACTCCCAACCTTTCAGCTGTCGTTGCCTGCTATGGCTGTGAGGAATAAGAGCAACAGCCCTGAGGAGTTCTATTACAACTGTCACGATGCTGATTCTAGACAGACTCACTTAATATAAACTTATCCAGTTCCAGCTCCAGAAGCAAAACACAGCATGAATTCTGAGAAGTTACTCTCAAAGTATGTTGAAGATGAAAAACTGACACTTTTGTCACCACAAAACCCAGTGTCTACCCAGAAATGTTTGATACATAGGGTAACAGAAGGGAATCTCATTACTCCCATCACCAAACTTGCCCCACTTCTAATGTGTTCAGCTAAATTCACTTAACAAATACAAGCTGTACTTTGACATTAAGACTGCATTAAACCTGGAAGTAACTTAGGGACTGCCTCTGTGAAACACAGGTATAACAGAAACCACTCAAAGAATATGGTCTAAATGCTAATGACAATTAAATCAACAACTTTGTGCCTTCTGGGAGCAACCATTTTACTTTACCATTATCCATCACATTCCTTTTAATTTTTTACATTTAAAATGTCTGACAAAATGTTGTAATATAGAAAATTCATCAAAGAGCCAGGTCCCACATTCTACTATTTTCAGGAAGTGTAGGACTAAGACTTCCTATTTCTCCAAAAATTTGGTATTTTACATAATGTTTCAGTCATACTAGTTTAGTCTGACATTTTCCCCTACAGCAGCTTGTATTTGATATTTATAAACAGTGAAAAAGAACTGCTGTTTTCAAGAGGTTAAATGGTTACAATCACAGCCTTGTTTTTCTAGCAGGAGGTAGGGAAATGCAGCCATTTCAAAAGCAGTTATGGGAATATTGGTAACACTGGGATTGGAAGGGACCTCAGGAGGTCTCTAGTTCAACCTCAGGTTCAAAACAGGGTTAAAATTCAATTCCCATCATGTTGCTCAAAAACATGATATAAATATATAAACATTGTAAATGAGCAAACAGTTTAACCTACTTGACTACCACAAATAGTAACATATATTTAATACACTTGCTGATGATTTCAAAGCATAACTACAAGCCAAATTTTAGGTTGTTTAATTTTTAACTGTGCATTCCTAGATCAAGACATTTTTGAGTTCCTTGTAGATTTATCTTTAGTTCTGAATACCCAGAGGTTTTAGTATTTACTTTGTAAAGGGTTTATATTCACAAATAACTGGTATCTGCTGCTATTCTTTTTATATGAATCTTACAGATAATATTTTCCTGAAATATTTGTATGTATTTACAGGAATACACAAAGTAGAATCATAAAAATTATAAATAATAACAAAATACATAATAAAGCTTTAGAAAAATGAGGAAGTGTTTGGTGTTACAGTTGAAACACATATGTCACTATGCCAGATATTTTTAGACTGCACTATGTTAGAGTCTCTGAGAAATGTTTCCTTTTGAATAAGTGGCCACCGAGTATTTAGTGCCATTAGGCACAATAACTCCAGAGGAATTTACACCAGAGGACTCAAACCCTTCATACCCTCTGAAATGTGCAATTTTATGGTCATTAACTAGGATATATGACAGTCTCCAAGATTTAACTAGATAATTCAAAGGGGGGTTTGTGATGTTAAAGTAATTAACATGCAGTCTGTTTTCATAATTGCTCAGTTGTGAAAATCTGAAGTTTAGTACCATACTTTGAAGAACTGAACTGGGGCAAACCAAAAGGCAGCACAGCAACTTTGACTCACCTAAACCAAACTTTTGTTTATCATACTTCCAGCTCATCAACTAAGACCGTGATGAAAGGCTAAAAAACATTTCTGGAATGTTATTCTATAATTTGTTTTAAAAATTCATGTGTTTACAAGCTATTAATGTATTTAAAGATCCACTGTGTTATCTTTCAGCAATACTTGGAGGATGCAATTAAGCTTGCACTCAATTTTAATTTAAGTATGGCAGATTTATAACTTTTTAAACTGTTATTATGCTGCCTGTTTACTCATGAATTTGCTGAGGGTGCCACAGAAAGCAAGTACTGAGGTAAGTATTATAGTAATTATTCTAATTAAACTAGTTTTTATTTTATAGAATAAATATTACCGTGAATTTCTTGTTGTAGTTATTTAAAGTTGTCTTCCTCTGGCATGAATACTGAGATACTTTTGTTGCAATAAATGCTGGCATTTCCAATTCAGGTGTATTCAGAGGAGGAGATTGGGATTGCTCCTAAGAAGGGTAAAAAAAAGATTTAGTGACACACATGGCAAATAGCTTAAAAATACAAAAAAGTACATTTCATGAGCCCAAAATACAAACCTTTGAAGAGCAGGCAAGAAAATAATAATGCTCCTGTCATCCTCCTATGAAAAACAGGTGATTTCACATTGACTGGACTGACAGTACAGTTTATCTGGTTATTACTGGGATTTTTGATTTTCTGCAGTAAGTTCTTACAGGGAAATTTCAATGGCACTGCCATTTAAATTTAAAAAAAAAGGTCTTTCTAAATGATGTGTGTCTCTACTACTCTCACTACTGCAGTAAGGTTGAAAAACTACAAAACTTTAAGAGCAGATAAGCTCTAAAACACAGAACTTTCCAAGAAAACACTAGATTATTCAATATAAGATTAGGGATATTAGACCAAAGGGAAATGTTCAATTGACTTTTTCAGCCTGTAGCTAAATTGAGTAGTGGAGGAAATATTTTTGTATGAATTGGAAATCGAGTTTTCTCCCCTCTTGCAGGTTAAATGATAGAAAAATTTTTAATTTCAATTTAATTAATTCAGCTAAATGTTTCATTTTGGAGCCATTTTAGAGCAAAGGAAGCATTTATAAGCAGCTACAGAAGAGTAATCTCCATCCTTTATTCACCCAACAGCCAGCTGGTGATGTGGTTTCTCTCCCTTAGCCAATTCCCACAGATGCTGATCCAATCCGGACATCATTTTTACACATTCACCAAAGAAAGGAAAAGGAACCAGATGCCAAGACTTGAATGGGCATTTCCCAATCTCCATGCTCATTCACATTTCATCTAATTTTGCTCCATGCAAAATAGACCAAGGTCATACAGGTCTGTGGGCAACTCACCCCTGAAAGATGGGAATTCTCTTAAAAGGTGGGATCCAGAGTCATATCCCCATTGAGAAAAGAGAGTCCTGAGCACAAGTCCTCAACCTGTGAATATCCTGACTAGGAAGCACCTAGAGAAAGGCAAACTCACACTGATTTCCTGCTGCTTTATATATCCAGTCCTTCAATTCTTTCACCTTCTTTAATGTGCCAAATCTGAAATACTTCAGAAACACGAAGTACCTTCAGCAGTTCCCTGTATTTTTTGCTCTTGGTCCTTTTGCTTGAAAACTTTTGGCAGATGAGTCAAAAACCTATTGCATTGCACTATCCAAAAGCCATAGGGAAAGGGTTCAACAATTACAATTAAAAATGTCATGGAAATACATAAAAGAAATTTTCACACCAATAATGGAATGATGAGCTCTTTTTTCCCTGTATCAAATCACACAAAGTCTATCAAACCTATAAGCATGTGTATATCTTCATAACCACACCCCCAATTAAAATTTCATATAATTTCAATTTTGCCTTTGTATTTAATTCAAAGCAGTTAAATATCAGTATTCACATGTACACAAAAGGTATTTGCTTGCACAACTGAAGGAGTAGTGAATTATATGGTGGTTTTCTTAGCATACCCTTAAAGATAGAAAACAATTTTATGTGTAACACAAGTCTTGGGAATAACCAAAATGAGTTTCAATCATGACAGCAACACAACTCATTCACTTCTGCACACATTCATGAATTATGTTTTTAAATTGATTTTAAATCAGATAAACTATGATTGATTAGTGCTAATATACTTCTTGAAATGACAGTGCTAGCTGAAAAGACTGAACAAACAGAATGTTACTGAACAGAATATATAATAAGCTTTTACCTTCTCTAGGACACAGAGAAGGTTCTCACAGAGAACAAGAGCCCTACATGTAGCATCAGCTGGTACTGTGGAGGAGGGTAAGACTAATGCAGAAAATCTATGCATTTAAGAGTGTGATAGACTGAACATAAACATCCTATTCCTGCCTTAGTACAGATATTTGAAAATTTTCCTTAATCAGTAAGAGTTATGCATTTAGTTAACTGGACTTTGTATATAACAACAGAAGAAATTTTGGATAGACATTAACTGCAAAAACATCTGGGAAAAAATAATTACTACAGTCTGATTTGCAGGGAATATTATGATGCCTGCATGTGAACTATAGAAATGATCAGCAGCAGAACATGAGCAGAATTGATGCTGCTCAAACTGATATTTGGTGGGAAAACTAGATGGAAAGAAAATTGTTTGTACAGATTACAAGACAAACCTAAACTTCCATCAATCACAATTACAGTGTAGAACAAGGAATCCTGGAAACTCATTAGACCAAAAATAACTTCTACTATTGGGAAGAAAGAACTAAAGACAAGAGAAAAATGGAAAAATATAAGCATTCAAAATTCCTCTTTTTTGTTTTAGATAACTTTACATTAAAATGAATTTGCAGTACACTGCACAGGGGCAACCAGAGGAAAATATCCCAATGTGTAGGATAATTAATCACTAGAGCTAGTCAGAGTTCCTACCCCACATCCAGGCTGCAGTGAATGTCACTTGCTACTCTTTCACTGACATTTTCCACATGGCATAAGCAGGAGATACAGCCTTTACCACTAGCATTAATTTGTAAAGCAGGCAGACTTGGTTACAGAATTAATATTGTGGGGGACTACTTTGCTCTTTGTCAAATTATTTTTTAACACACAAGAAGTATAATGACATAGGGAAATAACAGGGAGAAAATGAAGCAGCAGTGAATGAAGTGCACAGAGACAAGCAGCCAGCAGCTCTGTAAAGCCCAGGCTGCATTGACCAAGTAATAAAGTCCTCTGATAGCCAGCATTTTATGAAGAGAAGGCAGACAGTTTATAAGTTTCATTTTTATTTCCTGAGAAACTCAGGCTGTCAGTATGAAGGATTTCTTCCATTACTTACAGCCTCTCTCTTTCACAATGAAACAGAGTGAGATGCTCCAGAAAATGTTAAATATGTCTCCTGACACATGATAAGACAAAGGATCAAAAGATGGTACTTTCTTTCCCTAATGTGGAGAAAAATCCTTTCTTCAAATAAATAAATCTCTTTTCCTTTCTAGGAAAAAACAAACAAACAAACAAAAACCTAGTTAGCTAACAACTTCTGGGTTCTGACTGAGGAAAAGGCAGAAGAGATGCAGCCACAGTACAGTTCTTAAGGCTGCTGAGTATGCAGCAACCCTTATGGATCTCTTCCTCTCTTTTTACCTCTCTGAACAGCTCCCCTCTGCCTCTTTCTCTTCCATAACCCAGGAAACATCAGCACTTTCTAGCAATGTCCTTGTGCATCTATTAATGTCCATGTCCTGCTATTGTCAAGAGTACTCATCTGCTTGTGCTAGGAAAGGTGTCCCTGCACCAGGGCTGACCTTTGCCACAGAAATATTTTGCTTCCCTTTCAAAGCAGATATTTGGCTACCATATTTCCAAAGCTTATTAAACTAAATGATGGCTACTAACCTTAAAAATCAACTGTGACTGAATGAATCAATAATAATTCTGTCCATCTTAAATCTGGTCAACCAACCCTTTATTCTCTATAAATCACAGACATCAGAGCACCTCTTGGATCATTCACTACCACAGAAAGAAGTACTTTAATGACAATTTTAATTAGGGTGTTAGCTAATGGTCTGTAACTCTGACTTTATTCCCCTTGTTTTGCATGAAAAAGGGTATTTCTTTTTACTAATGCAGTAAAACAAATGTCCTGGATGAAGAATAACATTCCAAATAGCCTACTATAGGATCTGAAAGATGAAATCTTACTGCTATTGATATTAATGGGAATTTGACCACAAAACTATGTGGGGACAAGATTTCACCCAAAACATTCCCCCACTGCAATCCATTCCTTTTACTTCAAAACCCTAATGATCTAGCTTGAGTTCAAGGTTTGTTAATTCACTTTCATTTCACATTTTACAAGTCTGACATAACGAACCAAATTTGTCTTCAGCAAAATTCCAATTAAATTACATTATGTATGAGTTCGGTCTAGTACTTAAAAAGAAAATTAACCTTTACTTCAATCTTTCCTCATTTCTCAAGGCAGAAAAAAAATTAGCATGGTGACACTGCTAAAGAAAATTTTCTAAAATTCGCTACACCCCTAGAATTCTTGTTTTCTCCTTGTTTGCTTTACAAAATGTTTATTACCTCAGAGAAACTATATAATTAAGATTGGTTTTATAAGCTTTAAAAATATCAGCATGACTGTCACTAACTTCCTTATTGTACTCTGCATTTATTAGCATGAAATCTTTGTTTCAATAAAAACATAAGCTTTTACTTGCAGAGCCAGTCTCACAGTATGATTATGATCTCCTGACAGTACTTATATATTTTTCAGAAGTTTATGCTACACCAATATTCAAAAAGGAGTTATATAAAACTAAGGCAGTTTCACTGATGTAAAAAACCTCTCATTGACTTAAAGAAAAAAAAATTGGAGGAATTTTGAAGAAAGACAAAGGTGTTTCTAGCTTGGAAAAGAAAAAAAACGTATGAAAGCACATCTTCTGAGCTATCTGAAACTATAGGTCTGCTCATATTGCTGAAATTAAGAATGTACATAAAAGGTAGTTTGATTTATTTTTAATGCTGATGTGAAATTCTCAGGAAGGTTCACAGGATTTTGTTCATGGTTTTGATGCATTACTTGTTTAGAGAGCTTCTTTGCATTTCCTGTATTTATATTTTTATGGCCTGTAAGATAAAATAAAGCAGTAGCTACTAGTCTTCCTTTTGTATTTTTTTTGTATTTTTTCTTTTTATACTAATTTATTTCATCTATTCTCTCTCCACCAGAATCATTGAAAAATATTATAAATTTATTGCAAAAAATATATCCTTGGAGGGATTTCAAATATAAACAGACATTCTGTCGTCAAATCATGCTGAGTCTGAGAGCGACAGCTCCATCTGGTGTATTCACTTCCCCCTCCCCCCCAGTCCAAACTGTTATTAAACAGTGATTCTTGTATGTAAAAACCTAGAAAATATTTCTCGTAATGAAAATGGAATATGACTGGAAAAAATAATCAGGAGCTACAGTTTTTCTTGGGAAAGGATGGTATTTATGAATCATCTTTCATAATCTAAATACCAAAATGAAGAAGCAGCAAACAGTGCAATGCTGCTGTTAAATATTCAGGCACTCAGTACCTCAGAGGAGGGCACGTGCTGCACATCCTGCCCTGGTCCCAGTGTGGTCACACAGAGCCTAATCCAGACTCTCAGGAATCAGAAGGAATCCCTCACTTTACTTCAGAGAGCTTTAGATCAGACTTGTAGTTCTCTTGACATATAAAATGGATTTCTTTGCTGCTGCACATGAAAGCCGTCACCGTGAGGCTGGGGCAGCTGCAGAATGAGGGGCAGCTTCATCCAGCTGCAGTGCTGGGACTATTTCATGGCTCAGTGGCACAAGCTGGGCACAGCACACCTGGCATCCCCACCAAACCCCCACCACTCACAGTCTGCGCTGAGGTATTGAGTACCACTGCTCCTCACTATGCTCCAATCTGAGAAATTAGCAGGTAATTTGTCAGATATAGATCAGAGGAAAAAAATCATCATCCATTTCTTCAAGATCAAACACCATGCATCAAATCAGCAGTCTGCCATGTCCAATATCCTCTGACTAACAGCTTCTATTGAGAGAAAATAGAATATAATAAAATTTTTTTCTCAGCACAATTTTACTTCATGGTGCCAAGTCTGTAAACACATGTCCACAGACTACATCAGTCTTCTTTTTGCAGGTCCTTCAAGGTACCGGCTGTTAGCTGATCACCTTGCAACAGCAAAAGTTGTAATATTTTTGCATTGTTTTGAGGAGGCCAAGAATGCCTCAACAGCCAATTGAAATGCACTGCTCTCCCTGGAATATTTACCATTATATTGATGCATTTGAGCAAATACCACAAGTACCAGAACAGCAACAAGTGCCTCACTGATGGACATTGCAGAGGAACTGGGGCTGTTCCGCCTCTTAAAGCTCCAGGAAGACCTAACAGCAGACTTCCAGTAATTTAAGGGTCTGCCAGAGAACCAGAGAGAGAACTTGTTACAAGGGAACAGTGATAAGACAGGATGTAATGGCTTTACACTGGTAGAGGGGAAATTTGAATCATCTGTACAGAAGAAATTCTTTTCTGTGAGGGTGTGGAGGCGCTGGAACAGGTTATCCAGGGAAGATGTGGCTGCCCCATCCCTGGAAGTGTTCAAGTCTCAAATGGGACTTTGAGCAACCTGATCTACTGTGTGGTATCCCTGCCCATGGCAGGGCAGTGGAAGCTGGACAATCTCTAAGGTCCCTTCCAGCCCAAACCATTCTGTGATTCTGTATTTACCACTTTGTACCCTGTGATGACACAGTAACTCAGCATTACCAGACACCAATAAATAAGGCACGGAAGGTGTTTCTACTCTATTGAATCTGTGTGAATTACTCATGCAAATTTCACAGGAAAAAACAATTTTAAAAATAATAACACAACACAATTATATATATTAATATCACTGTACTCACACTGCAGGATCTGCCTTACCATGAGACGATACTTCATTTCTGAATCAACTGGTCTTCCTGCCTCCATGCAGGCTGTGAACCAGGAGATGTCCAGGAGTTGAAACCTAGAGCTGTCATCCACAGCCTGTCCTTTCAGCCAGTCCAGCACCTCCAAGTAAGAATTGTTCTCAGCCACAATATGAGTGACAGAATCACTGTCAAGAAGTACACAAAAAAATTTATTTTCTTTTTCACTAAATCCAACTGTACACAGATACAGAGCTGTTATTTCTGTATTTACTTACCATCCACTTCCTGACAATTGTAGTGTACACTGTACATGTGGGATGCACTGAAGTTTTCATATCATCATATATTTATTCTAGTCACTGACTCTGCCTTGAGGAAAGATTATAGTCTGACAGCTCCTGTAAGTGCAGCATTTTCTTTCTTGAAGGATCATTTACCTTACATAGACACTAACCTAATACACATTCTTTGCAATTCTGAAAATATTTAGCTTACACAAGCAGTACCATAATTAAAAAGCTGCTTGACAACACCTGACAGCCTCTTCCCAATATTCCTCATCAATGAGTGAAAGCTTTGCAACATTAACAACTCAGTTAACAATAATTATTTAAAACTTTACAGCTAATTATATCTTTCTGGATACTTACATTTTCTATACTTGTATGAAGCTGTTCATTACATATGGCATTGCCAATGGTTCATTAATTAAATCTTATGACCTACATGTTCCATATAAACACCATTTCCTTGCTGCTAAGCCAGTATAACAAAGCTGATGGTTTAGTGAACACAAAATTTACAGCTTGAATTGTTATTCAATACATTATATGGTGTACATTGCCTAAAATTACAATAGCACAAATGTTATTGCAGTAAACTTCAGTTGCTGTACTAGAACAACATTGGAAAGGATCACCTGATTAAAAGGTGATCCTTTTAAAGATTAAAGAGACACTTCTGTACCCATGACAGGAAAATAATGGACAGGGACAAAGCTATGTTTCAAAAAAAGATTATGTGCATACTTAGGATGATCTGTAAGTTTCTATCTGGCCTGCTGATGTTTCTCAGCAAGTTTAGAAAAATACAGATTTGGTGGGAAATTTTGAACGATTTGGAGTTCTCCTGCTCCCTATGCATCCCATGAGGGTGCTGTCACCAACACAAAAAAAAAAAAGAGAGAAAGGAGAACATTCTTCATTTCCATCAACTTGTAGAACTTAATTATCTAGAAGATATATTCCAACATTAATTTCTATCAGGCAACAGATTCCTAAACTCACAGGAAAGGCACAGACAGGCAGTGTCACTATTTGACACTATTTTTACAAAAGGAAAACTAGAGTTGGAACATAAATTTTCTTAATGGCAGCCACGCCCATTTGAAAGTCTGTGCTCATGATGGTGAGAGCCTTCTGCATATACAGTAAATTTCCAATGGGGGCCCTAACAGATTGCTCTGCAACCCTCTGTAACACCTGGAGAAGTGGAGCCATCAGCCTGTGAAAGCAGAGAGATACCACTGGTCGCAATTACTCGTTAACATCGACTTCAAAACATGATGTGTGCTGTTAAAAGTAGACTGCACAACCCTTCAAAGCAAATTACCTTCCAGAAAACCAAAAAAATCCCTTGGCCTATCTCTGTGATCCTTATTCAAATGAGTGATCACAAATTTCATTAAGTCATGAAATCACAATGACAAATATTGGAATTTCTCCATAGAAAACTGTTATCAAATAACTCTCCAATGCAATAAACATATTGTAGTTTGGAGCTATAAGAAAAGTACTGAAAGGACTGTATTTCAGAAATGTGTGTCATGATATATAGTGGAACTTGTAGAGCAGAGTAAGTCCCAATTTATTTTTTTTTTCTAAAAGGTTACAAACACAGATTAAGAGAATCTCCAAGAAATACTGTTGGGTTTATTATTTAACCCTGCTAGGTCCTATCTTAATTAAACTGTCACATCTTTATACTTGAGTTAAAAAAAAAAAAAAAAAACCAGAGACATAGAACTTCTGCTTCCTGTGGTTTATTTCACTTCATATAAAATATTCATACGTTATGTATTCCTACCAAGCTGCAAAGCTGGGAACTTTGCCATAAGTATGCTCACAGAAGCAGTTTAGCTGCTGTGCTCCAGTTTCCTCTTTCCTCTCCTACCTGTACAGCTGTGCTATTTTCTTGGTACAGAACATAACAAATTTAGCATTTCCTGTGTCATTTTCAAAAGCAAAAATCAACAGCTAAATAGTTTTGTTTTATCCAGTAGCAGCTAAGAAATTAAGCATAACAGCTGCCTCACAAAATTTACAGAAAGTCTAAAATACTGGCAATAAAGACCTATGTGTCAAAGCAGCCCAGATAAAGCATTTACACAGTTCTCTACATATTATAGATGTAGGATCCAAAACATAACTCTTAATTTCTTTTTTCCCCAAGAATTCAATTAGTTTTGTATCAGATGCTAATTGCCTCCTCCTTTTCAATACCTGCTTCAATCTTGCTTTATAAATTATTTTACCCTCCCTCCTTCCTCAGACTTTCAAAGTTTATTGGGATTGAAAGGAAGTCTGTGGAAATACACCTTTATAGGAGAACCCAGCTGAACTCTCCCTTAGTGCAGATCCAGAGACATGATCAATACTTGGTTCTCCTCCAGCTTTTCAGAGAACCTATATAATGATGGAGCTTTTGGAAAACTGCATAAGGACATAACCAGCATTTATGTAGAGTACGGTTTGTAGGAAGGCTTCCTTCAGAATGAGTTGGTTTGCTAAAACCAGACAAACCTAAATCTGGAGTGCATTTTCACTCTCAAATGCCGCATCCATGGCATTTTACTCCTAAGATTTTTCTCCAGTGCTCTTCCAGATTATACCAAAGCATGAGCCATAACTTTGAGACTCATATTATGGTTAAAAAGTTAAACACTATAATATCAGAGATGATGTATACAAATGCCCTCCTTGACCCATCACAGTTTCCATTCCTGTACATTTAACTTTTCTCATTTTCAAAATTGGCCATTAAATTTAGATTAATCTTAAACTGACTTCAAAGGGGAAATAAACAATGAGTGATTCAGATAAGCTAAAGACACAATTTATATGCAGACACATGAAAATTGACAGATTTAAGATAAATTAGAAATGCACATTTTAAAAGTGAAATAATAGAAATTTTGCTAAGTTTTGTGCTTTCATTGCTCTCTGTCCAGAAGACAATAAAAATAAACCACATGCTAGAAACACCCACTGAACTCCTGAAACATATCAATAATGGAAAGAGCCAAATATATCCACCAAAAACATAGGCAAAATTTTCTACCACAGTCACTTGTATGACAATATTTGTTGAATTTAAATGTGTTAAAAAGCATTATTACACATTATTTCAAAACATATAAATACTTTCCTACCTTAGCTCACTTTCTACTCTGAAACCTTTTCTTCTTCCCAGTTCCATCAAAAACGTCCTTCTGGTCATCCCCATCTTCCTCTGCATAATAAAAATGACAAAGTTACTGAACTTTATTTCATAACTGCAGGAAAGTTCTGGGGAATGCAACCCTTTTTGTCTCTTCCTCTGGGAGATTACAGCTGGAGCTTTGAATCTGTCCATGGTGTAAGGTAGAAGTGCTTTCCCTTAGTAAATTAGAGGTAACATGCTTTCTGCAGGCAACAGCTGTATTTGATGTCACCACCCATTGAAGTAATTTTCTTGTTTCCCCTCTGAAATCAAAAGCAGGTGCTACACAAGCAGAAACATCACTCACTCTCTACCAGCTGGGACTTCTTCAACAGAAATACTCCAGCCAGGTGTGAAGATTATTTAATTCCTTCAAACAGCCATTGCCTGCAAAGACTATCCAAATGATATTGATCAGCCAAATCATCTCAAACTCTCAACCAAGTCTTCAGCTGATTGAATGACCCAGTTCCACCTTTTTGCACCCAGTGACCTCCAAAAAGCTGCAGAGCAGATTGTGGAGGCCGTTTACATTCCTTATCTGGAGGAGGGGGTACTGCTCATTGCAGAACTACACCAACGTTTTTGCCAGTGTCATGTCATATCCAGTTCTGTATCTCCCTGAATTTATTTTAGAGCGAGGTGAGCACAATAAATCAGGCATACAGCCTCTGCATCTACTTCAGCACGAATCTACTTCAGTGGTAAATACACCTATTCCCACGTCAAGCTGGATTTTTTTTTAACATAGCAGAGAATTTGGATTTTACCAGTCCTTCACAACACACCAGAAATGTTACATGTTATGGAAGCAAGGTGGAAAAATTTAGGAAAAATTCCTAAATCAGGTCTATCAATTATATTTTCAGTTCTTTTATTACAGATGGATATACAGCTGAGTTTCAGGAAAGTTAATCAAAATCTGTTTCCTGCAATTACGGCCTGAATTTAAGATTAAATTATAAAAGTATTGCAAACATTTTCTGAGCCCTATAGCTCTTGCTACTTCAACTGTATCATTGCAGATATAAATAAATACTTTTCATCAGAATAGAAACTAACCATCCAAAATTAATATAGAGCTTTCAGCTCTTGAGCCTTCCTGAGGCCATGAAAAAAATATATACATGGTGCAGTATATAGATTATACTGGATTAAATTCTTCCCTTGCCTAGGGATAACCCAAAAGCCAAAATATCTATTCCTCTTTTGGATTTATAACATTAAAATTATCAAAATAAATCATTTCAAGGTTATTTTGAAATTATATGAGATATTTTCATAGGAACTGCAAAATGGACAAGCTGACTTGAAGAGGCTTATTCAAAAGAAAACCAGAAATGGATCTGGTATTAAGGCTGAGCAATCTGTTTTGGTTTTTCCATGTCTTTTTTCCAGACTACTAATCAACCATTGAACACTGGTCACTTCCCTGTTTATAGCTTTCCTAGGCTGGTAAAATACTTTATCTCAATCCCTACATGGAATAATGTATTGGAGAACAGATTCTTTACACATGTTAAACAAAGTTTTATTTTATGTTATGATTAATTCAGTGCTCTATAACATGTAAATATAATTTTCCCCAGTGTAACATCAATATGCTCAGTGCCAGTAAAATCCTTCTGGCTTGAATAACAAGTTTTTATTCCTTTGTGTTACTGTTATAAGTCTTAAGCCAGATTTTCGAGGGTATTTATGTGCCAAAAAGCTGCAAACAGAGACCTAGTGGGATTTTCAAAATATCTAAGCAACCTAGGCCCTTGGCTCCTTTGGAAATCAATTTCTGGCTTTGAACCTAATGCAAAGAGATTTTCTCTAATAAACACAGTATAATATGAAAAAGTCTCTGCCAATTATGCAATTTTATTAAATGTACGTTCTAAAATTAACAGAATTTCCATATCCCAGATGAGTGAATTACTTACTCTCCTATAATATTATATCATAATAATTTTGACAGTACCATAGAAAGTAGAACATGCACTAGAGAGAAAGCAAATACAACAGAGAAAAAGCATGTCTATTTTTTATGACAGAGGAAAGTATACCTTTACCTGAGTCATGACACCATATATTAATTGTGGCCTAAAACCACTGAAACTTGCAGAAATTTTCCAGCTCATTACAGACTCATGGATTTCAGAATATTTCACATTCCTTGAGGGAAATCTGAACAAACTTTTATGTTCTTGCTATGGATCACTGTTGAACACTATCAAAGGCAAAGATTAAGAATTTGACACAAATACTGATGGCTATTTAAGTAAACATTTTTCATCACTTGTGATGTGGGTGCCAGCAACAGCATCCCAAACTCCTCTGAGGAGCAGAGTGCTGATCAACTTCAAAGGGAGGTTCTTTGAGAGGAAAAGTGCTGCAAAACACATCCCCTCTGAATTTCAGTATTCACAGGTTCTCAGTGCATGTTCTTGATTATTGTTTGTCTTTCAGTGCCCTGATGTCATGTGAGCTGCATTGTAAATATTTTATAAAATAGTACTTGTCCATTCATGCAGCTTTCATGAGGAGAATTGTGAAATTTGCCTTCAATACATAGCTAAAATCTGCTAACCTTCAAAGAAAACATGTCTCAAATGCCAACAATAAAAATCAGAGAAGTGATTGGATGTTTTCTTATTTCACATAGGCTTAACAGCATCTCATGCAGTATTGTTTCACAATGATTAATTTTCTCTAGCTTTTCCATTTAGTAAATTTTCTTCAGTAATTCAGTATTTTCCAATGAACCAATTAATGGAAATTTTTTAATGCTTCTCACATTTGTTTTTGTCTAGATATTCCCATTACTACTTTTCTGCTTGAATTCTGGCTTTCTTGGCTGCTAAGCATTTCCTTTGTCATTTATACTTGCTATACCAATCTTTCAGTGTCTAAAAATCATACGGCAGGTGTTTTTCCTGGTTTAAAAATAAATTCCCCAAATCCCTTTTTATAGTCTCCAGCTGCAGCTGGGGAGATTCAGGTTAGACATTAGGAGAAATTTCTTCACAGAAAGGGTGATTAGTCATAGGAATGAGTGCACCTGGAGCTGGTGGAGTCACCATCCCTGGAGGTGCTTAAGGAAAGACTGAATGTGGCACTTGGTGTCATGTCTGGTTGACAAGGTGGTGTTCAGTCAAAGGTGGGACTCAGTGTTAGAGGTATTTTCCAGCCTTATTGATTCTGTGATATTTTTATTCTTTGAACCACTAGTATATTTTTAGGGGGCAGTTCTGAGCTATAGGTGCTTGAATTATTCCCATCATAGGTGATAAACTCCATAAGGAGCCATGTGACCAAGAATTCAAAAAAACCTAAATAAATGATGGTATGATTTGAATGTGTCCGCTTGGCTGCATGATGTTATTTGGCATATAAAGTTTACTTAGAGAGAACACAAAATTCTGCAGCTGTTGTCATCAAATTTACAATATTTCTGATATATATGATCAAAACTGCTGTTTGTTTTTTTTTTTTTTTTTGGCTACCTATTTAAAATAAAAATCTGAATTAAAAAATTTATTTGGCAACATCTCTTAGATCATACCAAGAGCTAACAGCTTGTTTAATTTACTGTATACATAGGTATTCTAGAAAGGTTAGGTTTTTTCCTGAGCCCTTTCTGAAGAAACTAGGGGAGAGCAATATCATAGTTCTGAATAATTAAATAGAGCAATAGGGTTCTCCCTTACAGCACAGGGGAAAAGTAATTGGTGACAAATCCTGGCAGGAGCTGTTTCCACTCACATCAATATGCCTATATTCCCTGGAAACTATTATTTTCACTCATCCTTCAATCTCTCTGTTCAGTAACAAGGTTTACAATTGTTCTCTTCAGTTACTCTGCCTATGGTAGCTGCTTCTCTTTGTTGTGATAGTTATTGGACTATTATTTGATTTTTGTGCTGGTATATCAATGGTTTTCTTTATACTTTAGTCTCATGAGAGCCTTGTGAACCTTTAGCAACAAGCAGAGACATATCTGCATAATCCCATCACTATACATGGCCAGGCAGCTCCTTTGACAGTTACACATCTCTTCCAAGCATAGTTTACAATGGTAAATCTGCCTGGATTTTGAGCAGCATCTCACTGGTAGTATTAAAGATATTTCCATTAACTAAGAAATACCAGACAACCTTCCAGAGATGAGGAGCTACACAAACAGCGTTGCACAGTCTAAATTTAGGCAGCTGTAAATGTTACTTATCTCAGCAATGGCTCAATATCGTTTCTGTGGACATTTCAGAAACTTCTTCTATAACCATATAAGACTAGAAATAAGCACTGTTAAATTATAATAAAATTAAAATACTGTTATAATAACAACTCCTATCATCCTTTATATATAAATAATATTTATGTCCTCTTCTGTTCCTCTAGTAGGACACTGCATATAAAACATCTAATTGTTCATTTATCTTCTTTTATTTAGTTGTTGTGATAGTTACTAGGTGGTAGAATTAATGCACTTCACAGTGACACTGCAGCATTTCCAGACCTACTTACATTACAGAACATACAAACACGTGTGAGATTTATACCTTCTACATTTACAAGCAGTAAAGCATGATGCATTTAATAAAGATATATATACCTAAACAAAAATAATAAAAACTGGAAAAAGGCTATTGTCATGATTCACAGAATACTTTCAACTATACATTCAATTTTTAGTAGAACAGGAAAGCGCCCACACCACCAAGCTGAGGAGATAATCTGCCCAATTAATATAAAAGAGAGAAGTAAGTAAGAATAAGTACCATAGATAATGTTGTTGCAAAGGGAAGAAAAACTTATGAATATTATACAAAATACCCCCTTCTTAAGAGCTTATGCAAGTCAAACCAAGATAAATTTTATCAGTTTTTGGCTATTGAGGAAAAGCAACAGGTAATACCTAACAGCACAGTGAGTCCTGACAGAGATCCTTCTGCACACTCCACTGAAATAAGCTGCAGGAAAAAGTCAGAGCCAACACCAGAGAAGCCAAAGGAATTGTGATGAGGATTAGACACATCTTTGTGTTATCTACAGACAGAAAACAAAACGGATGTTCATCCAAGTGATGTGTTGTGAATTTTGCAGGTGAAGGAAAAATAAATTAGAAGCCTTTTTTTTGTAATCCTAGAAATTTGAACTGAAGGAAG